CATACTCGGATATATATAGTTGTTGTATCCTGCATATCGTTCGCGAGGGGACAGGGTAAATGAAATCATCATCATCATCATCATCATCATCATCCCCTGTATCACCTGCAGTAATGCAGATACTGAGGAATCCATATGCCTGGCGCAGAGAGCTGCTGGGATCGAATGCTAAACTCCTCCATATGGATGACGTCGGTAGAAAGGCCCTGATATGCACAGCAAGTGCCCTTAGAACTGTAATGGTGCTCCCCGTAGTAAGCCCGTTACCAGGCCCTCGAATTATAGCATGCAAAACCCGTTCGTCCGTGTATACCTGACCCTGCTGACTATCCAAAGCTTCTCTGGATCCAGTCACACGTTGCAGGCAAAGCTTGATACCGATACCTGTTAGAAATGTCGCTACCTCTGGGCTCCCAATAAGCGAGTATGAGTGTCGTTGAGTTATATCTAGAAGAGCTCCATCTGTGTTGGCATTCGCCCTTTCTCTGTATAACATGTCCTTCACCAGTCCTATCGAAGGCCTGGGCAGGTAACGTTGTAAATGGATTTCTATAGGGCAACTTTGTAATATTAGCAACCGTAAAAGGGTGGATATAGATACTACTAACCTCTCACTCGAGCTTGGATTATTTACATAAGCGTTGGAGTTCGAGGCATAACTGCTTTCTTGTGGTGTCCGGGACATTATCTCTTTTGTTTCCGGTCTGATTCTCCAGAGTCCGTCACAATGAATTTTGCTGTTTGCACGTCGTAAAACTGACTGTAGCAGGTATAATAGCATCCAAGCATATAAACGAGGCTTAACGCGGTCTTATATAAAAGCCTGTTGTTTCTATTTCTGTCTTTTTTTTTTTTTCTCATTCTCAAACAGCATTCCCTGTCCTGGTATGCGTACTACAGTACTTTGGAATCATGGAACGGAATTGTAATCTTTTCACGCTTCTGTGCATGCTTGACCGTAACGCAGTGAGTTCTTTACAACCAATAAGCTGTTTCAGCGACCGGTGCAGGTCAGTCTATTTCGACGCATAGACATTGAAATAGGTTTGGTTGGACATCCGGTATCACCTAAACAGTATATCCTATCCTAGTAGCTTATGTAGTAGTGAAAACCTAAGCTTATAGGTGGAGTAATATTCCCGTTTCCTTTAGAAGCGAGATCAGCATTCTATCTTTTAGAAAGCGGGACTATTTCTTTAGTTTATTATATAAATTCAAAATCTTACTCTGGTACGAATAAATGTAACCATGACTAGAACTGAAATAGAGTTTGCTGGCGCGGGTTAGTTCCAGTTCGGGTCATCTCCAGGGTACATCCTTTTCAATAATTACTCGTTGAGACATTGCCCCGTACCTCTCCACATCGGCATACTGTCGGATATGCTAAATAGGACACGACATACCCCTCACAACGACAAGGTAGCTTGATACCTACATTACCATTTTCCCAATTCCCCCCAAATATATACAGTATTGCTTCTAATGAAACCTGCGGCTTCACTATGTCTTCTAGTATCTCGGAGAGTCATGGGAGACGTCATACTATACGTTTGGAGGGCTTGCATCCTTGGCCAATTGATTCAGTACGTACCTAATGAGCGACACCCTGCATGTGCTGATTTCATCAAGGGAGAGCTTCTGCGACAAGGTATAACAGAAACGGCACGCTTAACTGCTGTGAGATATCTAACGGGGTGCAGAACGACAATTTGACTTGCACTATCAGCTATTCCAGGGGAAGCTTCTCCATGCGTTGATCAAAAGTCCTCGAACTGTACTGGATATAAGAACCGGAGTTGGTCACTGGGCGATGGAATTCGGTTAGTCATTATCATAATTGCTTTGCGCAAGCTCTACCCTCCCTGGTCTTACCTTTCCCATGCCAGTTGCCCGGCTAATGAGTCCTCTCCCCAGCCAAAAGACACCCCCATTCGAAGGTTAGCCCATAAGCACACACCACAAGGTGATCGGGTTGACTCACCACCTATCCAGGTGATCTGCCTTGATTTTATCGCGCGGTCGGTGAATATGTAAGTCGACGTCCCACTCATCGATGGAAGAGGCTGAGCGTTGTAGGCCTCTGGAAAACGTCCAATCCATTGTCGATAGCTTCCTCAGACCACTCTGGCATCAAGCCTATGATAAAGTTGATCTTATTCATATAGGGGAGCTGCACGGAGATGTCCAGCTCTTGAGACAGCTCTTGATGGGGGCGTATGAGTAGGCACCCCTCTCAGGCTATCTACGTATTTCGCTTTCTGACTAATATACTTGAGCTGCTGCGCGCCCAATGGAACAATTGAGATTTGTGGCACTAGTGTTCGGTTTGACGATCCAAACGGGGATACAGCTCTCCATCGGTTATATCGTGATATGAGTAGCGCGTATGAAAAGTCGGGTCGCTGCTTGGACCTTCCTTCAAAGTATGCATCAGAGGTAAAGCGCCGCGGGTTTGTTCACGTGGCAGAAAGGGCCTACGCCCTTCCTTTGACCACCAGTGGCAACATTGCTCTGTTGAACGATATCATTGCAAACTGGGCCGACGGGTTCGAAGCATACGGTTTAGAGCTTTTGGTGACGGAGCTTGGAAAGCGGCACCTGGAAATCTTCTCTGGTTATGCGTCTGCCCGCCAATCACTGCGAAAAGGGGTGGATGGATATCTAGAAATGTAAGTCCCCCCTCCAAGTGGATTCAAATCAAAGTCACTCAATGTAAAAACAAGTTGGATCGTTCAGGGCAAGAAAGAGCCGGATGATGGCCAAAATACCAGCCAGATGGTAGCGGAGTCCTTGGCTTCTTAAAAAATCACGTTTCGTTCTATTCTGTCTAGGAATGATGCTCTTGAAGCAGTTGGTACACGGTATTGATTCTACATGTCTACTGATTATGGCCCGACAATCACTTGCGGAAAGCCGAAACGTAGAATATTCGATAGTCAATGATTCACAGAGATAACGATTCTGAACAAGACCTAGCATAGTTGCTACGCGGAACCTAAGTACAACGGTATCTAAATACTAGTAAAGAACAGCCCACCGCATGATATGAATTCTATTGAAGAGCCTTATGGATGACAGGATCGATACAGCTTTCGGATATATCGAGACTTTATCTTGAATCCCCATAAACAGGCTGGCTTACTAAAAACCCACGTTGCAATATTCCACATATCAGCAGGGGGCGTTTTTATAGCCTATCTGTCTAAAATACTTCCTGCCTCCAAGAGCTGACATACCGACAACTATATTACAGTCACTGCAGATGAAAATAGGAGATGAGTCAGGGGGGGCTGCTCGGGGAAAACAGTCTTGGGCAATCCTAGGATTCCTATCATGGCAAGTTAGTGCATTGTGGGCCCGGTGAGAAATATCCGGAGTACTTACTGCTCATAAACAGGTGTGTACTATGGCAATTTAGATTCCACTACCCACCTTTTCTATGGTCCTGCCTAGATTCTGTGACTATAGCGGAACGCAGCGGAAGAGCAAGATATCTTTAACGGAGACTGGTAACAGGGGTATAATATTTTTACTCTTCAACTTGTAACATACAAGCATTGCTGTGTACTGTACTATTGTATTTGGTTCCCCTCTCTCTCTTTGTTTTTGATTTATTATTTAATTTTTAATATTTTATTTCTGCGCGTCAACTACGATACATCGTACTTTTCCTGCGAGGACGGGTTTTAGGTTTTGCTCATGCTTCTGGAAAAGATCGTCTATCTACTGAGAGACTCCTTCCTAATCGCCTCTAGTCAGTTTTGATGATATATACTATGACAGATAATAGCCAATCACTGTTAAGTACAATGTATAATGAAAAGATTCAAAGAAAGCCTAAGATAATAGAAGACAGGAATAAATTTTACCGTGTATTACTATTATAGAGTAGTTCGTTGGCTGAGACTATAGATTTTAGTAGATATTAATGTAAATATACTACAGGAGATTGACTTATATTTTTAATAAGTACTGTACGTAATTGCCGATGGTGTAAACCATGAAGAGATATTTCTTGGACGGGATCGACATTTATAATTCCCTGCTTTTGTTTCAATGGAAAGTTGCCAAGAATATATGAAGTATACCGCATATGGTTTAGCTTATCATATGTTCGCCTATTCTTTCCCGCTTACTCCATACGGCCGGCGATGAGAGTCCAGTTGGATACAACTTACCAAACCAGATAGATTAATCAATCGAATATTTTCATAACTAAAAGTATTTTGATACGGTCGAAGTCCTTGCTGCGGTCTTCGTTATTGTTATAACGATATTCTAATAGAAGAGTAAGAATCTGTTATTCTCCAAGCGTCTTCTAATATCGAGAGATGTACTAGCTCCAATTAGATCAGTGATTAATCTATTACCACTTATCTTGGGTATTATGTCTTATTGTTCAGCACTGGGAATGGAACTCTATCAGCCAAGCGCCGGAGATAGAGACTAGTTTTAGCGTTTAAGATACATTAGTGTTGGGGATGTATTACCGCTACTAGTTGTGTGAAGTTGGGAGATGAAGTGGAATAAAACTTTTATTATGAATGGAGGAAAGGAAAGTTCTGTATTTCTTAATGAATCGAACAATCGGGTTCATAAACAGAGACGGAATATATAAGTTATACCGTATATAGTATAGCGTGGACATAACGTAAGAAGCGAGTGATGTACTCCGTACGGAGTAGTTTGGTTCGCAATAGTACCAAGCTAACCATTCTACAATACATTCTACCATAAATAACACAGAGCGTATAGTCAGCTGGTATTAAGAGTATTACGGAATACCTGGATCTTACGTAAAAAATAAAGCATAACAAACGAACATAGGGAGGATATAAGTATATAAGTGCCGAAAGGAATATAACAGTTATAAGTTGTCTTGCATATAGAGTAACCCACCAAAGCTGTTACTACCAGATCGTCTAGTGTTCACACCAATTGAACTTGACCATAAACAACTCGCCTAAATAGAGATTGTTAATACATACATCAATAGAAATTATAATGATGATCTTACCAATTCAGATATCCGTTTGTGTCACCAGTCAATATTGCCTCGACTGCTGAAGAGCAGAGTTCACGAACATATTCCGCGCTGTACCCTAGCATCAAAGTCATCGGCTCCATACTCAGGTCCTCTATACTTTGGGCCCAACATTGTAGAAGTGCCCTGGATGTAATCGTGTGGGTGGGATCCTTGAGACACATAGGGATTCGGTGATTTAAGAGGGTGATATGACGAAAGCCTTTTTCCTGCATTGTACTTTCGTACATAACAGGCAGTTCCATATTATATCCATATTGGCCGAGGGCGCGTTGTAAATCAGTATACCACTGATGGACTGGGTCGTTCAGCTCTTGAACCTCTACAACCCAATCGCCAAACTCGACCCAGGCTCCTGACTTAGAGCATCTGGGCACATTGTCAACGAATATTCTGATTCAGTTAAATCATGCACTTGCCTCTTTATCCCATCCAAGATGTTGCCCAAATTCTGCACGCGATGCCCAATCTGCCCAATATGTACGTAATCGATGTTCCGAAAGGCGTTATGCCACTCAGGATAATACTCGAAATCGTCAAGAACAAAATGGACGTTCGGAGTGCCTCTATGGGAAGTCAGCAGATTGCCTAGAGAATAACCATTCCATAACATACAAATCGGCCTGTATATAGATCCAGTCTATGCCAGTGACCTATAGGATATAAGATTCTGTAGGATCGTGCGGTCATGCCATAGGTGCTCACCGTTGAGTGTCTAAATGCATCCGCTGTATCATGTTAGCTATGTCAAAAAGCTAGTATAAGTCATTTCTCACCAAAGTCAATTGCCCAAGCTCCGATCCCCGTACCGATATCAAGGACCTTCTCTGGTTCTTCAACAATCGGAGCATGGAAGAGATGTCCGTCAAAGTGGGCAAGCGCAATTTCATGCATATCACCTATCATTTGTCAACGCAAGACGTTTCAATGTCTCTAGGAGGCCCACACTGCCGACCCCGCGCTTCTAAGTCCGTGGGCCAAGGATATCGGTCTTCCAGTGTTAGCTACTCATGAACAGAGTCACACCAAAAGAACTAACCTAATTGTTCCCCATAGTATTCTCTTCCGTTCCTCTGTATCGTCCCTACGGTGTCCATGCCACTAGACTAAGTTAGAAAGTATGACACAAGTAGCCTTCCTAAAAGATACCGTTCTTCGTCAACACCGAGCGAGGGTAGGTCGTCCATGTCTATGGACGACAAGCTATCCGTTGTGGATAAACTACCAGGCGAAAATACATCCTCGATCATAGATTCCGAATCAGTGGCAGTGTTATCCATCGTAATTCAGTATAAATAGGGTGAGTGCCCTAATATGAAGGCTTGGGTGAGACAAGAAAAGACAACACGGGTCGAAGGCTTAGGACTAATAATCAGAGGCCGATGAAAGAAGAAGCAGGTTTAGATCGTCTTATCTGAGTAAATAGTAGTGGAATGGATCTGAGGGAAATTCATTGCCTGTGTCTAAGGATAAAATATCACATAGTTGGTTCATATTTTTAAAGTGTTGGCGGCCGTCTACTTTTAGGCCTTTCTCCTTTTCTTTTTTTCTTTTCTTTTCTTTTTTTTTTTTGGGAAAAGAAAAAGGAATGCCTTGCAAGGGCTAGAAAACAACATTGGAGCATCTCAAGCCAATCAGAAACAGCTAAGGACAAACGAGTCAGCTGCGTACTAAGTTACTATACAAACGATATCAGATACGGGTCAGCTTTGCATATTTTCGGGCATGCCCAACTGTGTTACATACGGAGTACTCTGTCAATACGGGTATAAGCAGCTGGCTGCAGGTGGGATACCTAGCGTTGTTCCACCCTTAGTTCAAGATATATGAATTTAATTACGGAAGAAACGCCGCGGGCTAAAATAGGAACATGGGTATTCATCTGCTCACGAATAATTAGGTATATACAACAGTATAACCTGGGCTGTCATTGTTGAATATCTCAGTATCAATATCTGGCCGCTTATTTGAGTTTCCATGATATAAGCACATTCAGACCCTGCTGGAACAGTTACTGAAATACAGAGCAACAGTTATTATCGGCGTACACACCATTTTAAAAATATATACATTAACATATCTGTACCAATATTAGTTGACTCGTCTCCAAGCTAAACTTGTCCATGTGATATTTAGAATTTCTCTACCGCAAATATTCCATTTACCCTTTGCATACCTAGTCTTTTTTCGCACGGACAACACATCGTCACGTAAGGGGGCCAGAATCTAATATACAGAGAATTGGATATGCCGGGTTTTTCTGGAAGGATAAACGTATAAGTTGTAGTAAAAGCTGGTTATATATAGTGGGTCAGATTACGAAGCGTTTGCAAGGTAATAGTAGCGAGATCGATCATCTATGTAAGGCTTTGCAAAACATACAGAAAAGTAGAGAAACAGTAGACGATATCCATCCTCTCTAGCTACCCACGGTATCCAGGCCCAAAAGACTATGGAAAGTGTACATACTTTAGGACGGAATGGTGCCTTCCTGAGCTCCTAGTTTGGTCAGGGAAACAGAGACCCAAGGTAGGGAACCATTGCAGGAAATGACAACTGACTATTGTTGTAACGGGATTGGATAGATCATCCTTTACAAATAATTACCAGCCCATAAATTCGAGGGCTTGTGCAAAGTACTCATGCTTGCCACCCGACGCTGCCTCATCTTGCGGAGGGAGCCGCGCAGGCCATCGGAGACGGCGCTGTGATCGCCATCGCGTTGTCCCTGCTACTGGATACGACCCCCGCCTCGATCACGAAGGCGCAGAGTATTTTGAGAGTCCAATAAGAGAGCGTACCAGCTCATATGAATTATACCATCTACGGACAAGTGTCTTTTAGCTTCAAACTCTATTTTTAACGGGTTACAAAAGTACTACATGTGGGACTTAAAAATCAATTACTGTGTGGTATGCTAAAGAATATATACTCTATACCAAAAGTGGAAATACCCATAACAATTAACTTCTGGCCTTCTGTAATCTTAAGTAATAAAGAAGGACACAAGTAACCCGCCTCTTCCATTTTCCACACAGCCCCTCCCCTGACTATCGATATGTCCCAGCGCCATGCCTACACAGCCGAGGATATCCTTCGTGAAACAGTCCAAGGTCTTGCATCTCTAAAAGCATTTTTTGCTTATGACAAAAGCGGGTTAGTCTTACACATAGCCCGTGCAGCAAAGCAAAACCGGAGATTGGGCTTGGGCTTCGGTCAGAAGGGCAAGCATCCTACGTTGGAGGATCTCTTCATCCGTCTGCTGACCTGCCTTTGTTGGGCCCAGAGACTAGAGCAGTTAGAAGTAGAATGCTTTGCAACTACAATCACGGCCAGCAGCTTAGGACTTGCGCCTCATCTTTCCCGCTGTTATGGTATGGAGCACAACTACGTGACCGCAAATTTCTTCCGTTGTGGACGCCAACTCCGGAAGATCGAAAGAGGCGTTGGGGTGGAAGATTGTTCGATAGTCCTCCTCCCATCCCTGGCGAAGCTCCTATGGCTTCCTGATAGAGAGATCCTTCGACTAATAGATCTCTTATCAGGCAGCTTTATGCCTACCCTCAATAGCAATAAAGGAATGATAGAAGAATTCCATCAGTACCGACAGCTTTACAACACCGTGAGTATATAGGAGTATGAGTTCCCTTTTTCTGACTGTTGGTAAGCATAACTCATGATCATCTCAGCTAACGGTATATTTATAAACCAATAGGACACGCATCCAAGCCCCGTGATCTTAGCTTCTCCCCCGCGGATCAAAAACCATGAAGGGCAAAGCAAAAGGCGAGGCAGCTTTAGCCAGGATGAGCTCTCTAGAGAATCCCCACCAAACCATCAGAACATCACCAGTGGGTCTGATTTCGACGAAGGTTTGACCCGGTACAGCCAGCAATTCAGTGTTGTCGAGCTTGGGCTCATACCGGGCCGTAGGCTCTCCAAGAAACCCAGGATACAAAACAATAGATGCGGAGCCTCTTACCACCCCGAAAACCGAAAACCCATCTGCCCCGATGCCGGAAGGGTGTGCCATTCTATAATCAGACTGGCCATCTTCACCCTGAAAGATCACCGGTTGTTGTCGTTTCAGTTTGCTGAACTCCACTCCTAGTGTTCGTTCAATGATTCCTTCGATCTAGCCTGATGTTAGCTACGATTTCTCCTAGCCTACAAACAACATTACCTCTGGAGCTCTACATCGTAAGAAGACTTCGCATTCATTACCCCCAAGGCAATGTAACGTTGGTGATTCGTGATATTTTGTCTCTCGCTCATAGGCCTCCTCCACAGCCCTCACCACTTCTTCAGGTGGAGAGCCTTGCCTGTAGTATCTCTCAAATCCCAGATTCTGCATTGCCCACACTTCATCGCCATGCGGCTCAAAAATCGGATGGTGAGCGGGGTTGGGCATTTCATCCATATTGTGTGACGTATAGGTGACTAAGCAGGTTTATCCACTGGAGAACTGTGTAGATATAAAACACTTCAATACTAAATCCAAGATCGTGACTGGGCTCCTATTTATATTTTTCATAACACAATCCACACCGCATTGTTACGCTATGCTACATAGCCTATCCAGTGGATCTCGTAAATCACACACAAATTTCCGATCGAAGGTCTACCGCATACGTCCCAAATCTCAGCTGTTGTGTAGACTAAATAAGTGTTTGTTCTAGCCTCGTTGGCCCGGGCAAGCATACCGATACAAGTGGGTGGCTTGCGACCAGGAATGAAAGGCTTTGCCGATTCCGGGGCAGATAAAGGTTTTCCTCCAAGAGCAAATCCTAGACCAAGTGCACTTTCCAACCCACAGCAATATGGTTATCCTCGTATATATACGCTTGAAGACACATGATCAACTTTGCTTACAACGAATACATACATCGTGGGTAACATACAATATAATATATAATATAGATGGGCTATCATAATCTTGCCAAGTTCAAAGGAGTGAGACCGTGTTCAGGCACCTCTTTAAGTGAAAGCTCAGCTTTCCGCAGGAGAAGTAAATATCGGTATTAATACCAATATAACTGTGATTACGTATGGGCGGGATAGTATTTATAAGGTGGATAAATAGAATTAACTACTTGAGGGAGCTATTGAGCCAATTAACTTACGTATAATTCAGGATATATAGTTACCAGTATAGTTCTTTACCTGACCTTGGTACATATAAGAACACGCGGAAATATAAACACGCAACTATGACTCTATAAGGCAAAATAGACCCAGGCACGTTTCCGTATCTACAGGGGGCAGGCACACAACGGCTCAATGCTATTAATTCCCTCCTCTATTACTGGCACGAGTGCCTACTTATCCATTTTACAACCTAGTTAAAGGGGAAGCTAAAGGACGGTATAAACCAAGGAATCGGAAATATAGGAATATATAGTAGGCATTTTGGAAGAGCTCAGAAGAATAAAGGTTTAGCCGAGGTTGAGAGTTCAACTAAAAATATTTGTGTTTTAATTTTCTAATTCACTATAAATTAATTTCAAATACAAATTACGAACATGAACATCATCGTGCGATTTGTCCCGAACAAAGCCCCTGGCATGATAGACCGAAACAACCTTGGATCTATATAATATTAGAATCATGAACAAGTAGTTCTATCTCTCTGAACTTACACCCAACATGCACAGCTGCACATGTGCCCCGGTTCCTCAACTAGTACTCCGGAGGCACACTCTTTCATTTCTTGAAGACTAGGACGATTTTGAACAGGATACGTAATGAGAAGGTTATCCGTATGAGAGTCTCGATTCCACTCCAGACCGGCCTGTGTACGGTTTAAACGGATCTTAATGTCATTGCAGTCAATGGTTATGACCCAGTGTCTTTCGCAATACTCTGTGGTTAGTGGTTGGACATGGACGAAGATTATCTCTCTATGTGTACCCTATTAGCTGTTGTGTGTACGACCGTTACGGAATATGTAATAGGACAGACTCACCGCGGTAAGCCCGATCGAAATCTCCACAAGCAACGTCCGATGTTTTTATTCACATTTTGGCCAACTTCCTCGCGTAGACGACTCAGGAACATGTCAATATTGATGTTTTGTTCACGCCACATCTTCATAAGATGTGGGAATAAATACATATCCTGAAATGAACGCATGTAGCCCTGTATATGCTCGGGGCTCATCCCAAAACAATCAGCTGGCCGAGGAAGATGTTTGTCTTCCGGCAAACGCCCACCAAGCTTTAGGAATAAATATGTACTTTGTTGAAGTTCTGCCAGAAGATCTGGTTCGTGGTCTTGAGGATCCATTGTACAGCGAGACAGGATGTTGATACACACACAACAAAAGATTTGATGGATTTATATCAGAGAAGTGGACTTAGGCCGTTCTTATGTTCCTAATAAGACTTCAAACTAACGATACAGACAACCTGGATTAACTTTGAGCATGCATTTACATTGTGGATACCAGTGATCACCCATATAATTGTATCGGAGCTAATACCATATACTTACCGAAACCTAAAACTTGCATTGCTGTAATGTATTGTACTTGTCAGCGATACATATAAATGCATACCCGTCTAAGCAGTTACACATTGTGTACAAAACGGAAAATGTGATATACTCAGGCGAGATAATGTTGGTAGGGGATTCTGTGGCCCGGAAGGAGGGTTCTTCCGGCCCCCGCCCACAAAACTAGTCTTAGATAGGGATGGTCATGACTTGAACTTGGAAGGTTCTATGAAGGAGCAAACTTTATACCGTTGAGATATATCCTACCTTCTCCGTCGTCCCTAGTTTCCCTAGATCTGCAAAGTTACCGACTAAATTGTGATTCGGCTTAGTAGGGATAAGTCTAGTTCAAATAGCAGCCTGAGAATTTGTTTTTTATCCAGTTTCATCACTCTTCTACTTATCGTACGGGCAAGTCCTTTCAATTACATCCTGAAAAGATCATACTGAATCACTAATCTGTAAATAGCTGCATGTATAATTAGTAAAGTGTGCTTATTTTTGTTACATAAATCGGTACTGTCAGTCTACCACGTGATCAACTACAAACCGTCTATTATATAGATTCTGGATTATTTCTCTGATATATGTCAAATCGGAGATATTCCTTATTATCCAGTAAAGTGTCACCTGATAGATTTTAGTTGACAATACATTATTCAACGAGCAAATCAAAGGCTCGATCGAATTTCTCCGAACCCAGCGGTTCTGCCAGGATATCCTTTTCTGTCCACTGCTCAATTCTGTACTGGCCCGCTGGGAGACGGTTGTAGAGGAAGACCTCAAAGAAATTAGATGGTATAAACTGTAGCAGCCGGGGCCTGTACTCCTTAAATATTACCTCAAAGGCCTCAAAATGGGCTTTTTTAAGGGTCCGGTAGTCGGTCATAGAGAGTGTACCCTTTCCTGCAAAGGATACACCTTGGGGTAGAAAGCAGAGCACATTGGGCGAGCTGGCAATACGTACCAGCTGGTTCCAAGGCCATGCACGCTTGTACCAAGCCTTTACCCTCTCCTCGACCTGGTGGCAATCATGGGTCGACTCGGGGAGCTGGCGACAGATATCTACTACAGTCTGAGCGGTCGGATCCGGATAGCCCTCCCGGTGCCGTTGCTGGCGGTGGTTGTGGACATACCAGCAGGTTAGCGCTAGGCCAATGCGGGATGTGTACTTATTGTCCTTGTGCCAGATACCGGCCTTGAATACACCAGCTGGGGTACGCTGGAAGCTGCTGTTAGCTGCTGTCTGCTTCTGGCGCAGATGGAGTAACTGACGCCGTAGTTCTACTAGAACAGGCGGCGATGCGATAGTAAACGCCAACTGCAGTAGCCGGTCAGCCTGCTTGCTACCGATGCGCACTGTGGTATTTAGAGGCATCTGGGCTATTCGTTCCCTTATACGAGTGATATCATTGGGAGTGTCCCATTGACTTGTGACAGCAGACCAGCGTTGCTGCGTCTTCTCCGGTAAGACGTTGGTGTGTTTGCGGGAGGACGACAGTGCTGAGGGTAACGATAATCGAGACTCGCTTGCGGCGTGGAGTGCCCGCGCTACGATTTCACGGTTGAGGCTCCCCCGGAAATCCTCTGGCAGTTCCTCTTGGACGGACTGGTCGTTGACACGCTGCTTTATTGCCCAAAGCAGGCATGTTCCCTCATCTCCGTTCGTGGTGGCAATCGCTCGATTATAAAATTTCCACTCTGGGGACAGTTCACCCACATCCCGCAGATGTTGAGATAGTGCCTCTATAGCGTCTCGGCAAGAGGTACAAGCAGGATAGACAGGATAACAAGGATCACACATCTCGTGGAGGCCGGGCTCGATTGAGGTAAAGGAGTAGTGAATCACAGCTCCAGAGCAGGCTTGAATTTCAATCAATGACCAGCGTCCATGTACATAGGTGGGCAGTAATATAATCTGTGGGATCGGTATCAGGCGGAGAACGCCGCGATGTAGACGGTCAGGCCAGGCCGTATCAGCAATGTATACTTGTAATGGGGGTCGATAGTATGAAAAATGGTCGCTCAGAAAGTCAACTGTAGGAATTGATAGCTGCTGATAATTCTGCAGCTCGTCCAGGATTTGTTCTATATCAGCGTGTGTCAAGATGCTGCCATGGAGTATGATACGGTCTGTATCTGGCCATTGCTGTGCAAGAGTATCTCGTAGATCTGTGGCATCATTCGCCCTCCCATAAAGGCTCTCGTAGGTGCGCGTACAGCTGGTCGGACTCTCTGTATCGGGTGTTAAGTAGGTGTCTGTATCAGGAATGACCCTGCTCGTCGCTGAGAGGGGGGACGTGTCGGTCATAGCCTGATCGAGGTTGTCAGGCACACCCCAATCGTCAACGAACAGGTCGGGATCATACAAAGTTGGGATCTGGAATGCATCTGAGGACCAATTCCCAATTGTCTTGGCATGCGATACGGCACCCGGTAATATCTGGTTGTCATTCCACGGAGTTGCAGGTAGGGTGTTAACGCCTTGATCATCGGGCGGCACAAACAATGGATCCTGGTACGTCGCAGCGCTGCCGGTGGTACCAGGTGTACCCAAGCTGGGCGATATCTCTCCTTCATCAGTTGTAATATCGACTAGTGGCGGCAGTGATCCCAACTTTTGAGCCATACCGTCTCGCACTATGCGAGCAAAGTCCGCTGCGGGATGCGGCGAGGTGTTGATCTCACTGTTTGGATGGCTTTCCAGGAATGCGTCGCTTTGTGCACCATCGTGTTCGGATGGACCCGTGTCGCTGTCCACGGTTACCCCATCCTCGTTAGACCGGGGTCTGCCCGCCGGGTGTAACTCCTCCACTCCGTCTTGCTGGTCCTTGTACGCAGTGGCTGCTTTGGGACTACCTTCATTTGGCACGTCTGGCAGTGTCTCAAAACTAACGTCACCGCTGGTTGTTGCGGTACTGAGTTGCCACCAAGCAGGGGTTCGCAGTTCCGAACTGTCCTCTCATCAGCAGATTTTCCTTTTACCACTGAAAAGAAACACATGCATTGTATTAACCTGGTCAGACCGATGATCGTCGCGGAGATGACTGTTGATGGCGTAGACATAGTCCAGCGGGTTGGTGGATCCGTGGTAAACAGCCCGATGAGGCTGGAAGGCCTCGTACATGTTGCGGAGATACGTGAGCTGTAATGTAGGTCAGCGAGGTAGTCGGCCTAGTGTCATCTTCTGCATCTATAAAGCTTCCGCTTTGATGCTTTTAAGCATGACAAGGATGCGTCACATGATAAATTATAACATACCAATGCTCCCACCGTGCAACCCGCTCGTTCATAGTCTTGGGCCCATTGACTACACAGTTCAGCGACCAATGGTTTCTTTAGGGGCTATTAGCGAGTTTTTGGCATTATCCAGTGTGCCCACGTACTGCAATCTGCCAGTAAGCCTTCTGCTCGAGAACCGACACGTTATCTGGGCTGCAGCCGATCTGTTCAGCAGACGTGTCCACAGCTGATCCATGGCATTGGACGTGCAGTTTTTCTCTTGATAATGGGGGGTTCTCTTTTGACTTGATTGCTTGAATGTCACAGACTGACATTTTCCTTTGTTTGTAGAAACTACACAACCATTTAGAAGACCGTTGAGGTATTCCCTGCGCGGCTTTGGGAGCGAGTGCATGGCCGGCTATATACCCATGCCTCACTCGCCATTTCTCTATGCGCCCTGTGGTAGACAACTATGGTACGCATGGCGTGTCTCCCATCGAGAAATGGCAGGTGCCATGGTTCCCTCCTGTGTGCCTCGAAGGATCTATCCACAGACAAAGCCAGACATGAGTGTTCAGTTTCCGCGATGCTACCCCACCACGCCTTAAGGAGATTGTGGGTACAGATTGGCAAGGCAAGAGAGATCTGAGACATAAGTTGCAACGATGCATCATGAGTCGCCAAAGCCCCTGATGTTTCCATGGCTCCAGATATGGAACCCCTGGTCGATCGTAGATGATATTACCAAACAAGATCGCAGGACCACTAGAGCTGATTGTATGCCGCAGATCAAGGATACCCTATGCCCCACAATGTCGCTCACAATCCCTTCGCAAGGCTAGAGTTTGCGCCATTTTCATGTCTTAGAACTACGCGACCGCAGCCCTTTGAGCGGTTTAATTTGCGTGGGAAAAGACGTGGAGGGCCTATTAGTAAACATCACACGGCATCTATACCAATTGCATTCTATAGAAGAACTTTAAGTGATAGATATCCTCTCATATAATTGTTCGACCTTTAATATCGGGGGAAAAAGAAGAACCTTGAACCGTGGAGCAGCAATCCACGTGGTGCGGTTTAGTGCAGAGTTGATATGGGGTAATTTACGGAGTCTATGACACTAGGTAGTGTTACAATGTTAAAGGCTTGGCATAATGGGTACTTGGGTTTCATTTTACTCTTGGCAAGCTGTTTGTAGTGGGAAGGTTTTTCTAGAACATACAGGACCAGTGTAAATTGCGTCACCACTGAAGGACGTTCACTCGGTATGCACCGATAGATATAACACGGTTGAACTATCTGCCGCAGGTTTAACCTAGTTCGTATTATTTGCAAAACTCTCTTTTAATTTTTTCTCGTTATGCAATGGAGATAGCCAGCGCCACTGAGAGCTATTACCTGTCTTCAACGTGGCGTTGTTCTATTCTATTCAACAATTTTCTAATTACATAATCTCCTGCCAGTTTTGGAGCGCTGTTTCAAAATCTCGGTCATTGAATCGTACCGATTTCTGATAAAAGCTTAACGAACAGTGACTGATAATTGATAATCTTCTTTAGTAAATAAAGTATTATCTTTATGGACCGCTTAGAGGCTGTTCAATATACCGGGCCGTATTCAGTAGACCAGCCAACTAGTATCCCCTGCCTTAGATATCCATAACTTATATCTACACTAACCCCTGTACCAGCAGACACTACTCCGTAAGCTACTCCATATTTATGAATAATTAACGGAACAACTATATTGCTGAATTCAATTCTCTAGGAAAATAAGATACTACCTATTAGGTTCTTATAGCCTGTTGGTAGGGATCGTCGGGCGGCCCGGAAAAAGGGCTCTTCCGGCTGCTAAAGCGGGTCTCCGCCTACGCCCACAACAGCAAGTTAGAAAGCTTAAGATAGGATATTAAGAATTAAACCTTGAAGCATCAATACCATCATGGGCTATCTTCCCACACCGATATAACCTAAGTTATGAGAGCAACTCAATCAACTAGAACTGGAATATAAGAAGTTTCCACGTTTAACATACACTAACTTATAAAAACAATGCCCAGGTACTGTACTCTCTTCTTTCCTTCTATACTGTTTAAATTGCTCCTTTACCCACTTTGCATTATATTAAATTAGCGTCGCCACCCAAGAATTGTGTGCGGCTTGTACTTCTCGCCTTCGTAATACGGGGTACCACCTCGGTAACCCGGCTCGCAAAATATGATTTGCCATTTTTTGCTGGTTGTTCGAAGGTTAAAGACACAAATGGGGGTAAGCCCGCTAATCTCGGAAACTGCCCCTCCAATCCCGTAAATATCCTTTCTTTCCAAGGTCTGGATTTTAGGACACGTGTAGAAGGAATATTTTGATGTAAAAGTTGCCTTTTCAAAGAGCTTTCGAGTTTTTTTACCCTCAAGCTCCATCGTCTCTGCACCTTTCGCAATGTCGTAGACATTGAGTATAATTTTGGGGATTGTAAGTTTTTCATTGGCTGCATTTCGCCAACTGATCTTGGGTAGAGTCACCTCATGAGTCTTTTCATTGTATGAGTGGCGGTTCCTCAAACTTTGAAGTAAAGAGGGCATGCCATCATGAAATGTGTCACCTGAAAAGTCGTTGGTATGTAGAACTATGTAAACCGGTCGCTTTCTTCCTGTTTGGGCAGCCACATCATTTATATGAGAACCAATAAGCACAGGCTCAGCGCCATAGCCAATTGCCTTTTTCAGCCATACTTCATCTTTAAATATGGCTCTCCAGAGACGGTGTGACTGATTCTCATCAACGAACCCGAACGAGTCTCCCATGGCTTTGACCTGAAAAGGGGATAGGAATTTGGCAATATTGTCAAGTATCTCACGCGGGAGGCTTCGCATCTTGGTAGATCGTACAGAAGGACAAGTGAAGTTTTGTAGCAATGACCCTACACGAAAAGGATCTAGGGACAGATAGTGTTTTATAGTAGAAGGAGTGTGCTCACTACTGGTGGAATGTCACCCTTAATAACAGGACAGTAGCGAAAGATACAGAGATAGGCTTAGAGAGGATATGTCAATTAAACAAGGATATCTAGGTAGAGCATGCTAAAGGTAGGCATTGTCGCAGAGTAAATGGTAACGGTACCTAGTGGCTGTGTTATGGGCACTTCAGTAACTATATCCGCCGGCTTTCCAATAGCGCATGGTAGACTGTATACATGACTGATCCTGTACAGAGAACATGAGGTCTTTCTTATTATATACTGGTAGTAGAAAAAGTAAGAATTAGTCTTCTATCTAGTGTCTGCCTTTTTACCTAAGAATCCTGACCTACCTGACAAGTCTTCTACCCTGATGAGTATATATTCACCAACTGCTAGTAAATAGTGATAGGTAAGAAAGGTAATTCTTGATCCCTTATTATAACTAATAGATCTCTAATTTATATAAAGGCTTTACAGTAAATGGTATTAGAATCCTCTGTACTAGCTTACTTTAGTACATCGTCTACTAGCTACCATTATAAAAGGCTGTTCAGTGGCCGGTTTGTCTATATATAATAGGTAGGATAAACGGGTTAGCCAGGTGGCTAGGTTGCTATTCAAGCAGTGATAGAGTATGTATCTATAGATAGGCCGAACTAGTAGTAACAAATGTAGGTCCGAGATAATAATTTATACCGACCGGGAATACCCGAACCGGGTGCATGAATCCACAGCATTCTATATTCTAGTTCTTGAATACATTGACTGCAATTGTATATGGAGTAATATATTTTGGTTCAAGTTGTGTACCGCTCTTGATGGGGTCCATATGCAACGACAAGACTGTTATTATTACTACTATTTGTTTGAGTTACATACCAGCCTTGAAGCATCCTCTGCCCAGGGATTGTTCTGCTGTTCCTTGGGGGAGGGGGGGATTGCCAATTATGTGTAACCCTAAGAGAATTGTAATGATCTTTTGAAATCTATAGGAAATCTTAAGTTCAGAGACAAAACCAGTAAGTATACAATCAATTTCATCCTCCTATAACGGAAGTTTTAACTCTTAGCTGTTGAATGAAGTGACGTAGCACCAATGGTCTCATCATAAATGAATGATAAGAAAAGTCGAGGGGAAAAACATAAAGTAGCTGTCTACTCAAGGAAGGGGAAGATCTGTTACCTTTAACAGATCGGGCATCATACTAATAGGGGCTTATTAGGTAGCGTGTTGGATTGCATGAGCAATACGCAACTTTCTGCGAGCCTGCAGCTGTGTAATCCGGAGACCTTCGCGCCGAAGGATCCGTTTGGTGCAAGTCTGACAATCATCTCGAGTATTGACACCGTCGCCGGCAAAGCCATACATGGGGGTGAGTCCCTGGCGGTGCATAAACCACCGCACTGGGTGGGGAAAACCCCCAATGGAGTACCGCTGTCCGTCTGCCAGTCGAATCGAGAGTGCGATCTTGTCATCCATATTCGAAACTGAAAAGCGCACGGGTACGCAGTAGCGGCTACACCCTGGGCAAATCGAGCCTTCAGTCACACTCATGCCCAAGGGCCGGCTTCCAAGAACATACTCCTTTCGCGAGGTATCCAAGCGCCGGAGAGCACCAAGAAATGTTTGACCAGAAACACGACATCGGATTGAACCTGTACATTTATATGATGCTCCATCATTCTCAATATGTGGGGCAGATGTAAGTTCGAAAAACAAGCTTTGAGCAAGGAGACGTATGAGGCTTTGGCGGCCATGGTCCCCCACTCCCTGCTTGATAGTCTGCTGGATGAGGTCGTCCATTCGGTGAGCAGCATTCAAGAGGGGCTCAGTACCTGTAAGCAACACGTCGAGCCGGGTGGATGCGTCTCGCACTGAGCGATCGGCCTGATTCCAGAAGCGCAGCCAAGCGGCCGCGCCGTCCATGCTGTCCATGAAGCTGGATAACATCGGCCGAAGAAAGTGCTCGTGAGGGGCAGTGCCAGAGAGTGGGGTAGTAGTAGACCGTTCCAGGCGGTCGCGATCTCTTACGCCCGTTCCGATCGACAGGAGACAGCCTAGAGGTGGCCGCCAGGGCCACAGGTGTTGCAACTCGACCTGGAAAAGTTCTGCGGGCATGTTGTGCCTCAGGCCACCATCCCAGCAGTCACCGAGCGCCGCCAGGGCAAACGGCCGAAAGAGGCTGGATTATGTTAAGCCGAACTATTTAGTAAATGGTGGACAGCCTAGCCTTACCCGGGAACAGCCGATGTAGCGCGGGCACTTGATCCGGCTTGTTAGCTGAACAAATTGGACCATCAGGTGGTGATTCGTACTGACCATTGCCAAAGAAGCGGCTCCTCGTTCGGAGTATGCGCGATGAATTCACGATAGCCTGTAAGGAAGCTTATGATTAGTAAACTGGATTCTAGTAATAGTGGTGCAGATAAGAACCAGAGTAAATGGATTGTCAGATGGGTTGAGATATGCCGGGATCAAACGGAGGGTAAGGGAGGAATGGAGAAATGAAAACCCTATTTATTTGAGTGAGCTGAAACTGGGACTATTACCCGCAGTTTCCGGCCTGTGGACAGCGGGTTTGTAATTGGTCAATATCACTGGGCCATGCTGGGTGGTGGTGGTGACCGCGATTTTGGTGCTCGTTGGTACATCTGGCCCAAAAAGTCGCCTTGTGCAACTGTAGTGCGTTCGCAGAAGCGATTCAACCTGGTTTGTATCATACAACCCACGGTTGGTGACACCGCGTATGATCTGACGTGGCCATGAAAGAAATCGACAGCCATGCTGCTGGCTACTGAAGAAGCCAAATAGAAGACGTTGGAAAGCCTCAAAGCAATGAAGAACACTCTTTCGCATGGCAAAAATATCTAACACAATGTAGCCACCTGTGCGCGTCGATATAAGCAGTCACACTGGATCAGCCAAGCTCGAGAGATGGGGACAACGACAGTGCGGGAGGTCGGAAGCTTACGGCGGCGGCGCCCGCCTCCCGGGGGGGTAACATACCTGCACTGGTTCCAAATGCGACGTCGATTAGGTCGGGCAGTGGACAATGCGGGCCCAGTAAATTTTGAAGAATCAGCAGAATCTGAAGGGAAACGATCCCACGGATCCCGCCGCCGTCGACAGTGAGGGCTCTTACCGCCGCAGTCCGTGGCAAAAGGACTATTGAAGTCAGGCAGGGCTGTCGGCAGAGCGGGCAAGCCTCAAGAATATAGGTGGATTCTGCCCGCGGTGGAGGTTGACCATACCTTTCGACACACGCGTCGCAGAGGGCATGACCACAGGCGAGAGAATGCTGTGGGCTAGAGAGCAGACAACCTAGACATGTTTGATTACTGAAAAGGTTCTGGAAGAGTAAGCGATGTTGCTTCTGCTGGCCTTGATGAAGGCCTAGGGCCGACGTGCCCCGATTAATCATGTCAATATAACTATCGACGACCAGCGACTCCAGGGATTGCACTCGATGCACGGCAGCTTCGTCGCCAACCACTGACTTAAGCGCATCGAGGCACGGCTGCCGGTAGAGCTCTCGGAACAGATCAATTGGATGGAACTCTGCACCACGGGCGTTAGCATCGGCCTCTAGAGTGTACGAGCTGAGATACTGAGGTGATAATAGCGGCGCGGATCCAGCCTGCACTATCATTAGGGCATCATACCATGCATGTTTGGCGGAAAGGCATCCAAGATCAAGCTGGACGATATGATGATGTCTTGAGCCTCCACTGGCACCTTGTTTCCTTGGCGCAGAAAGTGGCCGATGTGAAACGTCCACTCCAGGAGACGAGGCGGAGGTCGGCCGGTCCTAATGAGATTGAATGTCCTGTCATGAGCCTGCGCGGTGTGTCGGATCGCTTTCTCCAGGAGCCCTGGTAGATGGGCAGCTGAAAAATGTAGCCCACACTCCCTCCGATCCCGCTCCATTACATCCAGCGCTTTGAACAGTTCTTCTTTCAGTGGCCGGTACCGGGCCTCATCCGAGAGCACGGAGGCTGGTGACACATGCAACATATGAATTCCAGCAAAAACTTCGGGTGCGTCGGGTGGCGGGGCGAGAACGCCAGCGAGGTGGGGATCCCCAAGGGACTCATCCCAGCTGATGACTTCTTTCGTCTCGACTACCACGAGAAGGCGTGGACGGAGTGCTGGCTGCGTCGCCTGTGGCCCGATAGCGATCCAGCGCCGTAGGAGGGCCTGCACCCCCGCCAACCCGCCGATATCTTCAGCAAAGATGCAAACTACATGGGATGCTGGTAGCAGAAATCTTGTCACCATGGTGTCGACTATCTGTGCGCCACTGCTAGATGCCCAGGCAATAGGAATCTTTTCAACGCCCGCCAGGCCACCGACGTCTGGTGGCTGCGGGGATTGGTTGGGGTCACCATCCGTAAAGAGAATCGGGCGTCCAGAGTATAGTGTGCGATGGTCCACGCGTAGCCTGAAGCCGAAGGCTGAGGTGCTGTTTGGTAGGTTGTCCGCAAACAGGGAACGCAACGCTCTGTCTTTCTTGCCCCGGCCCAGAAACGAGACCAAGGCTGGATGGCGCCGGTGTGGTGCGTCGGTCGAGTTTATCAACTGTGGTAGGCAGTTCGGATCATAGATCAGCGATGCCCCCACTTCCTCTGTAACGAATTGGAACCAAGACTGTTGGCGTTTGGAGCGCATTGAGCAAGATGCGCGACTGATCAAAGAGTTGTCGATATGGGACTTCTATGTGACAACCTACTAGTCAGTCCACGGGCAGAGACAACCTTATATAATAAGATCAAAAACAGTAGCTCACCTTGACGGCCGTACCGGTCGCAATGTCCCAGGCGCTTAGAGCGCTTTTTCACCATGGTCACTATCGCTATTCGGTTTGTTTCCTAGGATGAAGCCAGTTTCGCGCATCGGTATATACATTTTATGCCAGATGAACGCACCACAAAAAAATATAGGAGAAATGAGTACTTTCTATTCAGCAAATTTTGGGATGTCAGATGTTTTTGGTTACCCGTCGGGATGATCAGGGTTTTTAGCTCCGGCTGTCGGATCCGTGTCACATTTGAACGGGGTCCAAAAAGATCTCGGCGGTGCTCAAAGTTCTGCCACCGCCCCTAGCACCGCCTCTGAACCCCGTTGAAGTTCTCCCGTGTATAGGCCTAGCGGGGGCTAAACTTATATTTTTGAATCCCGTTCAATAGATATAGAATCTTGGCATATATAAATAAATTAAAAATTAAAAATTAATTCTGCTAAAAATATTTTAAAAGAATATATTACCTATTTCTACTTATTAAAATCTATAGAATTTTAAGTTAAGTAGAATTTAGTTCAAACAAGGTTTAAAAATATGTTGAACAGGGTTTAAAATTTCTAGGATTCTATTACCGCCTCTTGAACCCTGTTTAGGTTTTTCCGGATGCCGAGTTGAGCACCGCCAAGCTTTTTTTGAACCCTGCATGTGACCCGGTGGGATCCATACCGCAGACTGATACTGGAGCTTATGTCATCAGGCTCATCTTAACTTGTATCTTATGGAAACCTGGGTAAGTATACGCTGCATAAGTTAAAAGTATGATTCGTGATGGTCACTAAAATTAGAATTGGTAGTTCTCTATATATATCATAACATAACTAGTTACCTTCCTATAAGGACCAAAGAGCATATCATTACCAGCTACTCAATTACACGACACCTACTCCGGCAGCTCCTCGAGACGATATCACTCAGTACATGATAGATGACTCATGAGCTAGTGGAATCGAATAAATAGTGGATTGCTGTCGCCGTCCCAAAAATGACTATGTTGGTACTATCTAATTCGAATTCAAAGCATGAGAAAGGGACGGAAGCAAGTACTAGTTAGTTAAGGGTACCAACGCAACTGAAATAATATCCATATCCCCCCTTCTTGCATCCAGGGCACTTTACGTCATGTGGCCCTGAATGCAATGGTGCATCCAAAGATTACCACAGCGACGCACATGGCCCCTACACTGTACTGTCCTGCTGGTCCCTCATCCACAGTGGTACTCAGAGGCAAGCTGCTCTGAATAACCTTCTGAATTGCTGACTGAAGCCCGAGCACAAAAATAGTTGAGACAATAAAACAACCAAGACACCCTGCACTAGACACCACCATAACTGCCCACTTTATCCATTTGTAGCTGGACCATAGTCCCATCGTGAAGAATATTGTGGCGAACATGTTAAGAAGCACCAGGCAAAGCCCAATTAAAATTGCAGGCCGTGCACTTCCCAGAACCCTACCGGCCGCCAGATCTCCAAAATGCTGCAGACGTTCGAAAGTATCCCCAAGGATAGATTCCACTGGCGCTCGTAACGTAGTGGATATGTTTGCGGGAAGGGGGTGGCATTCTGTTCGGTTTGAAATGAACCCAATACACAGCTGCTGGGTGCCAATAGATATCGATTCGGGGACGCTATCGAGTCCAGGATGCATTCCAGGTATATGGGCAGCTGCTGTCGCGAGGGCTTCAATTCCTTCTGTTACCATTGTGGGTACTCCGACAGGCTTGGTCATTACCGTGGTCGGTACACTTTCAACAATACTCTTCATATTGTCATTTAGATCTTGTGCATTGGGCGGTAGAGGATCAGGCAGCTGGCGAGGTTTCATGGTAAGTGGCTGTGGAAAGGGATTTGTCCAGTTAACCTGCAAAGAAATATCAGTATAAGCGCAGAGATCATCTCAGTCCTGGCAAGTACAACGAACATGAATGGTTGCAATCCCTCGTTTCTTTACTATTGGACTACATAGGAAGGAAATAGACAAAATCACCACCACTAGCGATGCTAGGGAAAGAACGATGAAAACCAGTACTGCCATTCGCTTTTTCCAGATACCTCTCTCCTGCGAGCTGACTCGGGACAAGGCATCTTCCATTCCAGACTTATGATGGCGCGATATAAATGTAGTCTGGTTTTCTGGCCGACTATATGGCCCTGCGATTCGAACTCGAGTAACTGTTTCTGCAATCTTTGCTATGGTAGGCTCAGAATTCTGGGCATGCATTTTCAAAGACAAAACGCACCAAACACCTTCACAGATAGTACAGAAAGCTATACCGATGGAACAAGAGATCACACAAGAAAGTTTGTGAAAGGTAGCAGAAAGGAGATCAGCCTTGTTTTATATTAACCATAAAGGTAATCTTCTATAAATCTATAGGATAGAATCGTGCCTTTATATCGCTGACCCAGGGCTGGTACAAAAATGTCGAAGGGTGCCCTTATCTTTCTAGACCTCCGAGATTAGAAAGTGTGTCTTCTGTCTCGCTTTGTATTCTATATATCTGACATCCTAAGTATAACAAAATTGGTTAACTATAGAGATGTCAGATGGTCACGTAGGTTGAAATCCTTGATTAGATTGATTATGTTGCTTCCGTTGCTTAAATCTATCACCATGACTGTGGGAAAGAAATCGCTTAGGAAGAACAGCAGCGCGAGGCCTAATTAGGCAGCATTAGTAGAAGATATATATGATAGCTGAACGGAAAGAAAGGCAACGGGAGACTTTTGATTCATATAATCATTCTACGGTATATTTATCGGCTTATATACAACCTAGTAGTGAAATAGCTCATCGGTACCTTATTTCAATAACGCGAATGCTTCTTTAGGTTTATACCAGCCCAATACTCTGGTAGAGTGGTAATATTATAAACAATATATCTATTCCGTAGTACTATTTATTGTAGAAAGGTGCCTTAATCTCATAGATTTGGTGGTATATGCCCACTTAGCGGGCAGAAGAACATACTTTCCGGGCCACTTAGCGCTGACACAACAGTCCTACTTTCAATTTTCTCCACTAACTCCACTCGTACATGACTAGCCAAGGCTATCTTAGTGTATCACCTGTGGTAAGCTAAGCTAGTTATAGATTAGTGCCTACAGTCTTCTAATTTCCAGTTAAATATAATTAAAAGATATGCACTTTGGTTATTGCCTTTTACATACTTCAGTGTCTATACATAATACAGTCAAACTGGTTGTTAGAACCTTCTTTAAATCCCTAACCCAGTGAGAGAAACCATTATCAATATATATTTCTACCTATCCTGATAATAATTCTTGACATATACACATATTTCTGTTAATGACATCTACTGTGCCATGTACCGAAAGAAAAGGAGCATTCCAGGCCTTCGCAATGTCTCCCGGCGTCGGGAGACCATTTTCAGAAAGTGCAGCGAGCTCAGTCAATTTGGCGTTGATGTGTGGATAGTAATCTGCGCTGGAGCTCGGAGCTCCGTTTTCCGATCTTCAGAATCCGAATTATTCGGCTCTTTAGACCGCCAAATAGTAAGCTTGCATTTCCCCTCAGTCTTTTGACATAATTATTCGCACATACATTGACGATAATTTACTCAGATGCGTGCATCTCATCGCCCGACCTGGAAAGGACTCCGTGATTATGATAGGAGACTACGCGAACGCCGTCCCTTAAGGTTGATTGACCGGCTCGAAGTGGACGTTCCTGCTATTGCTGGTGACCAGAAATAGACTTTTGCAGAGCTATTATACCTTGCTGGTTTAAGCTATAGGCAGAGACTCTCTGGCCTGGATCTTTTGAAGTCTGACAGGGCCGGCTTATTTAAATGTCTTTAGTTGATAGCAACCTATTCTAGTATTATCTCGATATTTCGTTACTTTTAATAAAATAAAATATTTCGACACAAGCCCAGCTAAAAAGAATAGTTATAGATTATAACAAATAGCTGATAGAAGAAGGGCTGTGAATATTAATATAATCTGGATGTAGTTTGCCGCGCATATCAAAGACTACTCATACTATATAACTAGGGGATGAGATGGAAAACAATTAACCCTGATGATACAACCTAAGAATCAAACGGTGCGGTGTTTTATAGTTATAAATGAACCTAGCCCGAGTTCTCTGTACTTCTTGTTCGCATAGTGTATAGTTAAGTCAGATTAGGCCCAGTTATCACGACGGTAGATCTTAAATGAGTCGGCACTGCTGTTGGGTGAACAGGATATAATTCACCCTGTATAAGAATTGCATATCGATGACTCTGATGACCTTGGGAGTACTGGGCGAATAAGCGATCCACACGTGCCAGTGGCAAATAGAAGATGGTAGCAGGGTTGCCAATCTCATATAGAATGCCCTTATCACCAGATAGTGTTTTTAAAGGTGCCTCAAAGTCCTGTGGTTTCTGAATTGTCTTTTCACCAAGTAGGCCTAGCCCTGGTGCTGGCTGTTCATATTCTAAGGATATATTCAAGGAGCGGGTACTTGAAGGAGATTTAGTACTTGAATCTGAGGTGCAATCGAATGGGTTCAAATTCGTATATTGTGTCATCTCAATCATCGTGGTCAATGGCGCCGGTGACTGTCTTCTGCTGGATAGCGCTGTAGTAGTGTTGTAGACTGAAGCGCTGTACGCTGTGCCTGGCGGTGGACTATTAAGCGGTGATATGAGCAATAACGGCTGGTGAGTAGAGTTGCCCCTATTGTCTACGGGACTGACATGCCTAGAGAGATGTGCGGTTATTGGAAGTATCCTTCTCTGGCTCGAATCACACTCTTCTGATACAGAGTGTGACATTTGGCTCGGCTCCTCGGGTAGGCCGTCAGGTACTGTAGGGTCTGTGGTGCGCGAATTCCCCCTTATCGCCCCTGATAGTGGTGGTAGATGCCCCAAGAAAGCGTGGAAGATGTCCCGGGCTACCGCAAATGGCGTAAGTGTTTGGCCTACAGGACAGTCCACCTCTCTATCCACAGCATCTAAAGTCAAAAGCCGGCGGCTAGATAGAAAAGATGACTCAGAAGGCATCCCGCATCGACTGTGCATCTTCCAGCGACCTGTCTCTGGTTGAGTCATACACGGCATTTCTGAAATGGATTGGGTGTGTGGTTCTGAGGTCGCCGCGACGCCTCGATGTAGTAGACCACGGATTTGGGGAGAATCAAAGCCTAATGAGATGGCAAGGCGAGAGAACGTGGCCCAGCGTCGTTGCGATTCCTCCTGGGACCGGCAGATGCTTCTCTCTGCTCCTCGGTGGTCGAGCAACGGCATTGTCCCGATTAAGACGGGAAAATACTGCATTGTATACAACCAAAGGCGCCGATATGCCTGCAGAAAGCCTGAGCGGTTAGTATATCGGGACCGTCGCCGTGGGCGAAACTGATGCAAGAGAGATGTCCGGATGGTGTCTCTCGGGCCGTCCGGAATTAGCCTGCGCAAGGCCAAAGCACAAGGTAAGAGATACTTTGTATCTTCCATGAAGGTGTACATCGAGGGTATTATCCTTCGGATTGATAAAAGTCGACGTCCCAGTGATTTACGTCTCTCTTTGTCTGTCACCCGTGGCATTAGGGAACCGGATCTAAGTAACTGAGAAATGTACTCGTGGTCATTAGTGGACCACACCGGTGACCGACCTTGCAGCAGTTCCACCGAGTTGGGATCCAAGTCTCCTATGTTGCCGGCCCCCATGATATATGTCCATGTATCTAATATATGTCGAAGGTAGTGAGCAAGCTCCTAGCGTCACTTGGGATCAATGACCGTAGTAGTTGGTTGAAAGAATAGGAGACACACATCAGGAGATTTCATACGGAGCAGTCTATTCATATTCCCCACCGTAAATCCGGGCTGCAAACTGTGATGTTGGAGCACTTGAGCCAGTATGTCAAGCATTGGCCGGTGTTGCTTGCGGGAGTAGATACGCTCAATAACACTTCGCTCACTTGCACTTAAACGGGAGAGGCATTTTCGTATTGTCAATGCTATTTGCTCGGAGTGTGATTGAAGAAAACTGTTGTCTTCAGTCACGCCCACCTCTTCCAGGCATTCCTTTCGCATATTCAAGCCGAATGTAATCCAGAATTCTATATATTATAACATTGCTTGTGTCTCAACAATTGCTGCAGATCGCTGTGATTTTCTAAACCGTGATTCAAAAAGGACCCCGACTTCTTGCATGAGAAAAGCCCATATTTATAAGTGGTATGAGGGTAAATCCATAATTCATGGCGCCAACTGTGGAAGGAAAACTGAGTCACGGACACTGTATCAAAAACTATGTCAGCCACTGACGAGGTATGCTAGTTGTCATGTCTCAAGTTTAGCCTATGTAATTACCGAGCGTGTAATCAAGCACAAATCCATTCCAATAACACCATGATATCATATTGCACTATATCGGCTGAATAAGTGTCACAGTTGACGCTCTTACCCACAATACAGGATATTGTCCTTGCTTATCTTTCTCATAGTACACTGTGCTAGGATGTCGCCTTTTTGATAGGTCTTTCTTATTTTAACCTTGGCATTGCTTCTTCAATATAAAGAGTTATAATTGCGAACTGCACCTAACACTCTGGAAGTTTTCTGTTTAATCACGTCAAATAAGTGACACATATTATGTGAAGGCAGAGGCTATTGAGAACCTTGATAGGATGCTGCCGGATAACTCGGTTCAAGAAGAACAGACTCATCCATGGCATGGATATTGGAGCGTCGTGAATTATCACGATTAGCTCTATTCGGTAGGCTCCGTGGAGGCTCTCTTGCATTGTGGAGAGGAAGCCCCGCTTGTTCAGCTTGGCAGTGCATCCAGTGCTCACGAATTTGATCGAGAGCTACTTTGAAATCATCTAAGATAACTGTGTCACATAGGCATTTGAAGACAAAAGAGAGCTTGTGCAACGATTCGGGTTAGACACAATCTTGCAATTCCTGAGTACCAGTATACCACTTACCTTCCAAAATGGCTCAATCCCAACTGGAAGGGCAGTGGATATTACGCCAAAAATGGCGCAAACATCTATAATGATAAATCCCACAGAAAGACCCATCAGAATTAACATAATACCGAATCGTGGGCTGACTTGTATCAGGGTTCCTAGGCTCAATGCATAGCACTTATTGATCGCATGACATAGTGCATAGCTAGAGTATAGCCACCAAGGATCTCTGAAAGAAGTAGATTATTACAGATACCCAGGTTAAATATGGTGGAAATACATACCGGAAGAACGGCTCCAGAACCCTTGTCTTGAGGAAGAGAAGCTTTCCCTGATTGAAGAAGGCAAAATTTGCGTAGGTCTCGAGTACCCAATATGGTTGGGCTAGAAGCAAGGTACCCAGAAAGACTCGCGACCCCCAAGGTGGTAAAAACGGTTTAATCTTAATCCAAGCGATTAAGTTATGCAGGGTATAAGATATATTTAGGCCGATGGCAGTAATGGACAAATACCAGCCATAGACTGGTTTATGGAGGAAGATGAAGGTACCGTGGCCAGCAGCCAGCAGAAGCTATACGAAAAGTATCAGAGTCAAGGACAAATGCCTTTAGGTACGGACTTAGATTAATCCACTTACCTCAAGTATAATGAGCTTGTGTAACATCTTAGACTTCTTCATATTGGATGCGGTTAATACTACCATCACAACCAGTGCACCTACCAGGAGTCCTTGACCCCAGGCTTCCAGAACTAGGCCATCTAGATTTGTTGGTCTATCAGCTGCGGTATCAAATGATAGTGGGATCATTCTGGAAAGAGAGGGGATATATGATTGGTGATAACAAAAGAGGATCTCGTCAGATTTAGATGGCTTGTATAATAGAGATATACCCGGCTATATAGGTTCATGTGTTCTATTTATCCTTTAAGGGATATTCTACGGAAATACCCCTATGGGTATTCCCTGTGGACATTCCTCTGGTGGAAGAAAGAAATTCTTATCTGAAGAATTCGTGTTTGTCGGACTTACTACGGTAGCTTCTTGATGACTAAAGAAGGATTAGACCATATTCATTTTAAGCACGCTTGGTATTATTTCCATACTGGAAGTAGTTACAGTAGCTCTAGAATAGTACTTGTTTATGGTTTTCTAAAATGAGATATCTAGCGTATCCGCATAGTAGCAGAAAACTTAACACTGTTGGCAAGGAGAATGAAGAAAATGGGGGTATAGGACTTCCACCTTGACCAGCCAGTATAGAATATAGTGAATATTTATTTCGGTTACGAAAGGGGTCACTCGCTGAAGGGTATTATTGGCCGATTTACCTCTGGTCCTAGGCTTGGCAACAAACACTTGGCCTTTTATATCAAATTTTTCTTTCAATAGAGTACTATGATGGCCTATAGTTTACGGGTACACTTGTTATCTCTTTTGCACTGATAGCCAATGTCCACAATTTTAAAGAAGGAGACGGCGCTTAAACCACCGAAAAAGGAATAATATATAGCACAATCAACAGCGAGGCCTGAAGAGCGTTGATATATGGTAATATAATATATAGCGAAGATGACGTAATATGCACCACAGGGCTGCGACGGAATCGCTTTATTTCTCCCCCCTCTGTTCTTGGACAATCGGGAATTGTGTCGACCGTCGAATGATCAGCTTGTTTTCCGTGCTGTCTACAGGCTAGTTAGACAGCCTCCATGTCGATCCCAACTATATCAGATGAATCTGCCAAACTCTGAAGGGTCCTGACAAATTTAGGCCACGTGTTGGTGAGTACAAGATACTTGATACTATCTTGCGCATGATCGAATATTGTTGTGCTGAATGTCTCCGGAATATCCCCCATATAGGAATTGTTGGTTATCTGGCTCACCTGTTCAGGACCTTCTAATGAGGGGGATAAGCGTGCCTTGGAGGAGTTATCAGGTGCCTTGAATGGTGTAGCAGGATCAACATCACGCATGTCTCCGTACAGAGCACGGGTGGGTCCCTCAAAAACGGCTTCGAGTCTTTTAAGGTCCCTGGAAGAGATATTCACAGGAAACTCAGCATGGTAAACACTGATGAAATCGATGTATATACGTAGGGCGCTGTTAAAATGTACACGAATCGACCCCGTGAAGCAGTCACCCCCAGGAGTAGTGCTATTCCGAACGGTCTGCTGTAGCGAACTTTTCCAATGAGACACGCTGACCAGAAACGCAATATTCTCACCAGAGAAGTCATGAACGGCTGCGAATGTCTGAAGAGGAGCAGGGTTTTGTTCAAGTATATAATCAAGACTGTTCAGGTTCAAGGTATTGTTTCGAGCGACGCTGCTCATCTCAACAGAGTTACTATCTGTCTCCATATCAGATGTGACCGTATTGGCTATGGTGGAGGTAGGGCTGAGACTATTAAATCGTGAGATAGCCATTTTGTGCTGCAGTTTCTTTTGTGTGATGACGCTGGACATCCTTTCGGCGGAAGCCCCACGACGCCTCACCTCCCAGCAGGGAATAATGATGGTGAAGATCTCTGTTACCAGAATAGAAAGACAGATCCTATACTCAAATCAGGGGGGTGGCCATGAATGATTTTGGTTGGAAGAGCCTACCACTGTGGTGGCAACCAGTACTGATTGACCGACTCCATCGCGGGCACATAAAGAGCGACGAGCCACATGGGGGTGGCGTGAAGGCTATTTTACATTAGGGACGGTGCTTGATACTTAACCTAACACTTACTTCGCGATAGCGCAACCAAGTGTCTGGACTCGCCAGCCTTGGGTATCGTAGGTCCGGCGAGATTTCCAGAGAACTATTGGGGCAAAAATCCAAGACCAGAAGGTTTGCCAGACTATGCTAGGCCACCTACATATCTGTTAGATAACCACTTCCTTTTGACGAGGGCTGGACATGAAATCCATTTCTTACCACTCCCACCCTCGACCCATCTCTGACTTCTGTTCCATTTTGGTGCCATGGACCTCGGTGCCAGGAATGCCCCAGGAGCTATGCCACTTGCGAGATATCACCCACATTAGAACCGTAAGAGTCAGCTGGCCGGTCAGTTAGCTGAGATACGTCGGTGAAAGAATTGAGCGAAAGCCGCTATCGCACCTGGCACAGGAGGGAAATACATATGATAATAAAGAGCTTAGGAGTATACCCAAGACGGTGGAACTGACAAAGCACGTTTGCCTTGGGCCTTAAGCTAGGGGCAGGGCGGATACAGCGGCTATCGTAGTGGATATATTTTCTCTGAAACTTAGCGACATAGAGAAACTGGCTGTTGGATAAATGGAAAATGGCAATGCCGCATGGTAGATAGGTGCCCATGATCCAATACTCGGCATCTCCAGGCATCAAGGCGCCAATCATAGTTCCAAACTGAACAGACAACCAGTAAATATGGAGAATAACGATGGCAGAGAGCGATAGAGCTAGACCTCGAACTCGGAGTGCAGGTGTGTTTCGATGGGCGATTAGATAGGCTATACCTACCGCGATAACAGTGGTCCAGGTACAACCCCAGCAAACCCACCATATACTCACCGGCGTGTATGACACCCGCGGTTTAGAGTCAGGATTGACTCCAAGTTCTGATCCCATGATGTGTGATGTTTCTCGTGTTGCGGTTCTGGTCAGACATAAGCAGTTGGCCTAATTCAGACGTGGTCGAGGAATAGTAACAAGCTCGCCTAGGGCTTATCAGCACTGGGACTGTGCAAGGTACAGTATTTATTATAGTACTGCGCAAACTTAGTTTACCCAGTGAACTAGCGTGGTTCTGCTTTTCACGGGGTTCAGTCTATGAATGTATTCTAATCGACATATATTCATAACTATTGAGGTACTTTAGTTTGTAAGTGATATTAAGAACATTGGGGCAAATAGTCCTGTTATGTTTTCTCTCCCTGTTCGACCAAGCATGACGCCTTTCGATCAACTTGATTAGTATACACGATATTATTGGCTACCTTATTAAGAATGCTCATACATATCTTTTAACAGCTGTACTTCCAGAGTAACGAAATATCTAATCATCTTCGTCAAAGGGAGATGACCCTAATCAACACATTCGTAGATTTAGGATGCCTCAGTTTATCACCGGTGATACACTATCCTAAAAAGGTTTTAGTGTGTCCTATAAGTGCCCCAATAAGCAGAAGGGATTACGCCCCACATAAAAAGTCTTTGCTTAGGCTACACACTACTGAAACTTCTCCACTCTTGGTAGACTCTGTATTAATTGGTAAAGTAATAGTTCCAATATATACCTCCAGTGAAGTACCAGACAATATAGGACGATATAAATTTCAACACAAGATCAATTTAGTACTTGCCATTAACTTTATTTATTTAAATTAAAGAGAGTGCTTTCTCTGGCAAGGAAATCATTTCTACATAGTTATGGAAACTAAATTGGAGCAACCCGCGGCAGCCACAGAGGAAACATCGCGTCCTATGCAGCCATCTACACCAGTGAGAATCACTAAGGTGCCAGACAGCGCAGATTCCGTCTCGTCAATTATTCCGGGAGAATTGTCGCCGACCGAATTTGCACACATCAACGGCAAACGCAAGCAGAGGGGCTCAGTGACCAACAATGAGTATAAAGTGCCTTTGCAAAAGAAAGCAAAGTTGAAAGAGGAAACCACCTCTTCATACGTTTGTGGCACTGCCGCGGTACCCTTACAGAGTGTTTTTAGCCTGGACGCACGAGCTCCAGGTCCTCGCTTGCTGCCAAGCCCAATTCCACACTATAGACAGCGACAGCGGGTGGGTTCGATACAATACGCCCCACCACAGCCATATTCCCCCATACGGCTTGCACCATTTCGATTCTCCCATCACTCTGACCAAAGCAACGAAGAAGTGTACAACGAGCTTGCTCATTGGTACCAACAGTAAGTCTATATGCAACCCCACGTGAGATATTTGCTAGTCACTAATCAGATTGCCCAGATTCCGAGTGCAGATGTGGTCACCAGTAGCTTCGGTGATGGGAATACGCTGGGAGCAAGCAGAAGAGATTGGATGGTACATGGGTTGGAACGAGATTATGCGGCGCTCTAGCAGATCATCACTAGCCTATTAGTATGACTAAAACTCATACGTCGTGGTTATAATATATCATCATACTCCATAGGAAAATCATACTTCCATTTTTGCTTTCAGAGATAGCCCCCCCCCCCCCCCCCCCCGGGACCACAGTATAATGTACAATCCTCCAGATATGCTTCAAACACTGGTCTAGAGAGCTGTACATGGCTTCTGAATATATATCGTATACAAGGCGATATGAACGCTGATGATATAACACCTGACTATATAATGGTCCTTGTGTTATATGAACATGATACAAGGCTATAACTTCCAGCTGTACTATTATCCCCGTCAAAACAGGTCATCTGCAGTTCCGCCGGTGGGTGGTCGGAACCGCCACTGATATTGGCTAATAGGTCTGAATCACCTGGGTGCCACAAGGGGAATTGATATCGGAAGCGGAAAAATGGTTACACCGATCAAAGGAGGAACCTCCGATCATGTGGCCACGTCGGCCAAATATTTGATAGTTAAGCACTCAAGCACTCATACTCTGGGCTACATTTAGTAGAATAATACAGTTTTTCAAGGTTCCACTACCTATTTGAGTCTCGTGCAATTAGGCCAATCGACTCCCTCTGTCTATTCCCCTAAGCAGACCTTCGAGTACGGACTCTTCCCCGAGAATCCACTCCAATCCTCTCTAGTAAGTAGGGATACTTCATTCTCTATTGTTCAACAAGTCATAATTCTGCCATTATCTTCGAACTGCTTCTGTTGAGGCAATCATGAGTTGGCTAAAACAGCATCCCCTGTCTTCTCTGGGCACTGCTTCGCAAGCCGGATCGGATAGCGATGAAACCAATAAATCCAGAGACTGCTCAGACACCGAGTCCACATACAGCAACGAATACGCGTCTAATAGTGGATATGGCACGGATAATACTCTTGCCGTTACTCGGGTGTTGGAACAGCATAGTATCCCTTGCTGTCTGGTTGGTATATCTGCCCTCGTTTTCTACGGCGCTGGCAGAGTTCGTGATGTAAGTCGCTCAGGAGCTGTATCTCCTTCTACCTTTTTATACAAAGACTAATAGTATCTGTCTCGTGTCGCAGGACTGGGAGATTTGTGTTCCAACAGAGCTCGTGGGCCAGGCAGCAGAGCTACTACAATCAGAACCATACGCAACGCAGTATCGCCTAGTTAAACCGTGGCCCTATTACAGTCCCTGCTCTCTTATCCACACATACCACCGGTTCAAAACCAGAGGAATTAATCATTACTTCTTCCTTGTTCCTTCAATTGATATGCATATTGACTGTAACCCTTCCAACTTCACGCGCAGTCCTAGAGGGTTGCCGTATCCCAGGCTAGATATCTTTATTCAAAGCTGTTTAGACACCTGTGATATGCTCCAGCTTTGCGATGTTATAGACGGTACCAATATTTCAGAGGAATGGGGCGAGAATAACCTTAACCTTGAGGGTACTAATGATGTAGAATGGGCCAAGGAAAAGAATAAAAGGGGACAGGAGTTTGGCGGAAAGTGGGCTCATTCTCTGTTTGCCTGGGAAGGACAGAGAAACAAACGTGAGATGTGGCTGTCATTGGTGCGCACCAAAGAAGACAGGTTGGACTGGACAAAACCAAAGGATGTCTTTATAACTCAATATCGTGTTATAGGCGCGCCGGATCCCTGGACGGAGCTATCTGACATGTCTTAATGGTCTCTAGCGGGGTATTCAGTCTGTTTATCAATAGCTCTATCTGAATTTGAGGGAAGTTGAAGGGTTTTCGTGGAATGTCCCGGGAGTGTATATTAGAAGGTTGCCACCGGAACCTCAATTTCTAACTCTATGAAATAACAATACCTAGTGCTGTTTGCTCGGCGTACATACCCTGCATTTTTGTTACTCAGGCTCTCTTGAATCAAGGTTACGACATGCAGCAGGTGTCAAATATTCGAGTTGTAAGCATTCATCCGTACCTAATATAAGATAGAGGCTATATAACGTTACAAAGAAAGCATCTTCTTTACTGCTTCACGCCTTGTTTCGCTCTCTTCGCCTGAGCCATACACTTGATAGAAAGTTTCCCGCATATTCTTATCTAAGAATTGACTCCACTTTGCGATTTCATGACCATATCTAGTCAAGAGGAAAACTAGATCGAGAAAGTCCGAGTGCTTTCTTCTTGCGAACCACGCAGTAAGCTTTGTCTCGACTTGCCATGTAATATGGATAACGTTCACCCGTCTCCCTTGTGGTGTTTGAAATGATGGAGGAATTGATTCACAAGATTCCGACTCGCTGAGGTCGGGGGTTCCTATCGCACCTATTAAGACATCAGTAAGTGTACCCTTGAAGCCATGGCTGACTGATGTCAGAAAACAAGTGAAAGTTACTAAGCAGACCTGCTTACCAGAAATAATAATATCTACACCAACAACTTGTCCCCGTTCATCAATATTAATGAACATCCTCTCTTGAATCCCACCAGCAGTCTCATAAAATGCCAATATTGCCCTAGTATGTATTCAGCATAGCCAATAGAGAGGCTTCGTGGTTATAGGACATACCAACTGTATTGGGCCAAAATAGTTCTAACCTCGACCACAGAGGGGACCAAGATAAGGAAGTCGAGGTCGTGGGTCTCTCGACGTGATCCTCGAAGCCTAAGTGCCCATCCACCAAACCACGCTGTTTTCATGCCACTAAAGGCTTGTTCGAGATACGATGCCGCCTTGGCTAGTTGATCTGGTCTAGCCCTTGCAGCATTTCTTTCAAGCTCTTTAAGCTCATTAGGCGAGGTTTTGCCAAAGTACTTGGCTCCGCTAGATTGATCGGTGCGTTCCGCTTGAGACATTGGAAGGATATTTAGTTCTTGAGCAGTGAATGTAGTAGAGGGAAGTAGTTCTATGTAGGAAATAGTAATGATTTATTTTTCAAGGGACTTGCTAGGTATTTATGCTAATCAAGTTGTTTTCCCTATAGTGGCAGCGCAGGACCTCCACACACAGCGCCTAGAGCGATGATTCACTTAACCACTATGCTAGGAGCACGCTGGAACCCCCAGATCAGAGGCTAGAGTTGGCTAGTTCATATAAGGATGGGCAATGGCCTGACCTACCCTAATCCATACTAATTATAGACAAGGCAGGAGTATTGATAAAGAAGGATTGTGGGCATGGTCAAGCTACTCTTTGGAATATACAAGGGATGATCTTTTCTTAATTGAACGAAATATTCACCCGACCACTTGAAAGTAGATATTAGAGTCTTGACAAAAGCATATTAATCTACCAGCAAATGCACATAAGATAGTCAAATATCGACCTAAATCTAAACCGAGATTTGGCGACATTTCGAGTAACTTTCAGCGCAAATTCGACAAAAAAAAAATTCACCACCTTGTCCAAACTAGCCGCTGTTATCTTATAGCATACACACGGGACGTAACATCAAGCTATCATCTTGATAACCCTAGTCATTCTCTACGCAAAGCTAAAATTAATACGGCGATTAACGGAAAGAGCGAGACACAAGGCTCTAGGTATACGCAACCTTGATCAAGACATAGCATATTGACTTATTTTCGGACCCGCTAGGGACTAGAAAACCTGTACGTGGAAAAATTTACGAAATACACTTTTGCATCGTCGCCGCCCATCTTGTGCTGAAAACCTCGCTTACAACTCAGTTGCGCTGAAAAGACCTATTTCCATATGGCTAAACGTCAACTTATATATTTCTAGAGCTGGATTAACATCTAAGCAAATAGCTTTTGATAAAATAACATATTTTTAAGCTTTTTTATTTCTCTGGTAAATACAAAAGGCAAGTATACAAGTTAATACCAATCCTAAGAGAAAAGTGCTCGTACTAGGTAGTTTAGTATCAAAGATAACAATATATCCACTCTTATATCTTTTCTTCCACAGTCAATATTATCAATATCTAATAAAAGTTAATAGGCCTCCGTATATTAGGACGTCCAGCACTTATAAATAATATCTCTATATTTTAAATCTTCTACTCGGAGAAAAATCCCGCGACCGTAGTTTCCCGCAATTATTTCCGAGTCTTTGTCACCGATTTTTTTGTACGGGCGTGAGCTAACCAAAATCTCGAATATAAAATATCCGAGATTAGAGTGGCTAACGGTTAAGATTACGGTTAATTACTGATCTTAAAATAATGGTATTTAGGGCCCTGGAATTATAGAATATATTGTTTTTAAATTGAAAAATAATCAATTATATAAAGCCCTAATATATAGCTTAGGGCTAACCCTAAATTACCCTAACTATATAAGGTAATTACAAAATTACTGAATCCAGAGCTTTTTTTCTTGTATTTTTAACCGTTAGGTATTATAAAGTAAGCTAACTGTATTAGGAAATATAGGGCTTTGGTCTCTTTACCCTAAGCCCTAATTACAATATATATTAATAAAATATATATATATATATTACCATTGGCCTATAATACTTTAACCTAGTTGTGTATTTTTTAACCATTACAATTAACCTAACCTAGCCATTAGCCAGTCTAGTATAAATAGTATTTCGTATCAAGGTATTTTTTATTTCATTATTTAGATAAGAAACCTTCTTTCGAATATAATTACGAAGGTATCTATTCTATATATATAAAAACCAAATACCAGTCTCCGTAATATCGAGATATTCAAGAATATTTTTATATTTAAAAAGGTATTAGTAAATAGATTTCTCCCTTTCTATATATACTAAAAAGAATAAATTTTCTTCTTTTATAAATATAACAGTACTTTCGCTGCATCTACTTAAATCATATCAAAGCAGACTTTTTAAAACTTCAGCATTATTAAGAAGTCGCGACAAATAATACCGGAGGAACCAAACGCGACCATGGGTCGTCGAACACCCTTGGGATAGAGAATTAGTATTGGGTAGTTCATTATGTAGTTCTGATACTAGGTCTTTGAGAAGGTAACCCTTAAATTAGTTGTCCAATCATAGGTTAAGTATCCTATAATAGTTTGGTATAGTGGGTACCGTAGACTCGCATAGAGCAGTTTCTAAACTAATTATTAGCTCTATTATCTAATAATAGTATATAAATAATATTACGCGCGTCGCAATGTCTAGTATTCCAGAATAGATTAGGAATAAACTTAATTATTGTCTAGGATATTATATTTATTAAATCTTTAGTAGATATAATTGGAAATTTGATTAGAAAGTGTAAATAATAGGATTCGCTAGAAGTATTTATATAACAAGATTTATATTTTTTTTTTATTAAATTAGGTATATTACGAAAAACAGCTAGTAATTAATTATTATATTTATTATTAATATATATATTACTTATAGAGACTGTTCGGCTTTCTATGAAGTAAATTTTACTCTTATATTGCTGTCAAGTATAGTTGGATACCAGTTTATTATATTTCTTTTTTTTTTGAAATTATAAGTTATACGTTAGGAGGACCCTAATAAACGAAATAATAGAATTTGTAAAGTTTATATTTATAGCAATTACTAATTATTTTAAAAGATTTAAATATATTAGTAAAGTATTTAAAAGCTATATATATTACCTTACTATATTCTTATATTTCTTATTCTAATTATTTTAACTTTAAAAAGATTTCTCGAGCTTTACTCGCTTACTTAAACCAAGATTTACTAATCTAGAAGAATATCAATCCTCAGTAAATTGGTAAAAAATATATATATTTACAAGCGCTTTGTAATCGCTATTACTTTTATAATAGTAATATTAACTATCTTTTAGCTACTTCTTATAATAATATTTTTTTTCTAGAAATAGTATCGCGAACAATTACGTAATACTTGGTATATAAGAATATAGTGCGAGAGCTAAAAGAACAATTTGAAATAGTGAATAGACTGGCTAATGGCTAGGTTAGGTTAATTGTAATAGTTAAAAAATACACAACTAGGTTAAAGTATTATAGGCCAATGGTAATATATATATATATATTTTATTAATATATATTGTAATTAGGGCTTAGGGTAAAGAGACCAAAGCCCTATATTTTCTAATACAGTTAGCTTACTTTACAATACCTAACGGTTAAAAAATACAAGAAAAAAAGCTCTGGATTTAGTAATTTCGTAATTACCTTGTATAGTTAGGGTAATTTAGGGTTAACCCTAAGCTATATATTAGGGCTTTATATAATTGATTATTTTTCAATTTAAAAACAATATATTCTATAATTCCAGGGCCCTAAATACCATTATTTTAAGATCAGTAATTAACCGTAATCTTAACCGTTAGCCACTCTAATAGTGAAAATATCTCTATTACCACTTATAGATATCTTAACTATGTAAGGAATAGATATATAGATAGTAAAGTAAATAGAATAAAATATAATAATTAAACGAATAAAGAGTAATAAAATAAATATAGATCTTTAGAAATAGATAAAAATATATTTTACGAATTTAAATAAGTTTAATAAAGCAAAACTAAGATTAATAAAGATTGATAATTATAGTAGACTATATATAAATATAAAAATATCTGTAACATTAGTTGGAAGGTAAGAAAATAAATAATAAATATTCTGTATAATATGTAGATAAGATAGACTCAGCGATCTATATCTTTTATAAAGTCCGGTTTTTAAGAATTGGCTTAGCGAGATAGACAAAATATTTGAAATCTACAGTAATTAAATAGCTCGTTGGTAAAGATATTAGGTATTTTTTTATAAAATTCTATTAGGTTATATAAATAGTTATTTGCTCTTAGTAAGTCTTAATTTAAAGATATAATTGCATTTTAACTATTATTAATATAGGCGTAGTTATAACGTTTTAAAATATAACTAATATTAGATATCCTTTAACGAATTAATGATATAAGTAAACCATTCTTATAAAAAAAAATCTACTAGAGAGAATCTCTTCTTCCTAGAACCCCATTTCATAGTCCACCAATCTATTATCTTTAATTCAATCACTAAGAAAGATCAACTTATTAACTAATATTTCTATTTAAAAAATATATAAATAGCCTAATAGAAAAGAAATATTAATCTCTAAAGAAGCTTCGGTTATATCCTTCTATCTCTGGTAGATAATAAGAAAATAGATATTTAATTTATTCTAAAGTAAAAGCTATCTAAAATAAAACACTAGATTATTAATAAAAACACCTAATTAAAAACTAATAATTAATAATTAAACAAACTAATATATATACATAAATACTAAAATGGGAAATAAACTATAGTCTTTTATATCATCTATAACCCAGTTAAGGTATATTAATATAAGCTCAATTATACTAACTTAATCAATATAATACAAATCAACAGTTTCCTTTATATATTATTAAAGTAATTCTAGCGCTTAGTCCAAAAACTCTATAAGTATTTTATATATCTATTTTTACTTTTACACTAAATCTATACAGTTCGTATATTTAAAATCTTCAATTCCCGTTAGTTAAAGGTGTATATCTAGAAAAAAAGAAACTCAAAAAGTATAATAATCGTTGAAGAACACGTTCGATAAATATTTAGAATAATCACTATTATACAATAGTTTAATAGTTAAATAAACATTAACTAATACTAGTAATAAAAACTTTATATTATATAATATACCTTCTATATCTCTATAATTTTCTAAATCTATATTTACTAATATCTCTGGGAAGCTGTTAATAGCTATAATATTTTATAAATTTCGTAGGCTAAGATAATATTAATTAGTACACATAGTTAAAATTTTAAATCCTCGTAAAGGAAAAGATAAATAATAAATCTACTTTTTAAGGATTTCGATTTGGGCAGGCGCTGCCTTTTTCGGCCGCAGATGACGCTAAAAACGGCTGTCCTGGCCCATCCGCTGATTCAGCCGCCGTGCGCATAACCACTCCAGTTTAGCCACGCACCAGGTTTCTGGCACGTGATTGGTACCGCCCTAACACAGGACCGCTGAAGCTGTTCACTGAACGAAGCTGCAGCGAGACTCTTTGCCGCCTTTCGGGGCCAGGCTCTGAGGAAGAGAACCAAAATTGGTGCCCCCCTCCCTGAGTGAGGCACACACCCTATGGTCACCCTTTTCCATAAAGGACGAGCTTCTGCCCGTCCGTTCGTTTCTTTCGTCTCATCCCTCAGCCATTTCTCTATCACATTCTCCATCGTTGACAGGCACCTCGTCCTGTTTCTATTTCCTCCTTTTGCCAGACTGTCTGTCGGTTCCTCTTCCCTGAGTCATGGCTCACCATCCCCGTACCTACGCTGGCCGTAGCAGTGACGACGACGAAACCGCTAGCAGTGCGTCTTTCCGTCTAGACTCGGACGACGCGGCCGGTGTGGATTTGCAGACGGATGCCACAGATGTCACAGACTCCGATGTGCCTCCTCCAACTCGCTGTAGAGGCAAAGGTCGACCCCGTCAGAACCGCTCTATACAGAGACCTTCGTGGGGAAAGTCTCACAAGAGTGAGAAAGGGTCTCCTTCTCTAAGCCGCCTAGCGACGGACTCAGACTGCAGTTCTAGTGGCGATGATGTCAATGTCGACGTCCGCCATTCTCGAAGTCCTGAGCAACGATGTTCCCAGAAGAAAATTCGAAAGCCTGCTACTCTGTCAGGAGCCCCAACACGAAACAACGATTCGAACACCAGCTCCAGTGACGATGACTGCAGTGGCAGTGGCTTTGACAGTGACTCTGACACGGACCCCGACATTGACTCGGATGGCGAGTTATCATCAGACAGTGATGATGATGGTTACGCGGACGGCACCAGAAGAAACATTACGCGGATGGACGAGAGATGGGAACGGTAGGCCTAAAACCCCGACGGTCGCAGTGAGGCTTTTGGAACGAACTAATAAACGATCAGGTATTGCCGAAAGAGGAATAAGAGATACAGGGCGCTACCAGATTCCTTGTGGGCGAATCCTGCTTCGGCTCTTCGCGAAGCAAGGAAAAAGGAGTTGACTCTGTTCCTTCGTTGGTGCCTACGTTTGCGGCGAGGGAAGAATGGCCGGAAGCTAAAGGGTATCAAGAAATTCAAGTCTTTGGATACCGATTGGAAGTCATTCCTCCGTCACTATGAAAAGGTTACCGGGGAACCCATGGACAATGCGCTCGGAAGGCGAATGAGAAAGGTTGGGATCAATCCCAGCCCCGATTCTGGACGAGTTGCTAACCTGTTTCTGCCCCAGAGTATTCGCAGGATTGCAAGGGAGCATGAATTAGATACGGATGAAAAAGAAAAGACCCCGATGTTTATTGAAGACGTGGTGCCACTGCAGGAGACAACACTACGTACAATGGAGAAACGGTTCGATCTTGGTCTTCAGCGCATGCAACAATGTCTCTACCCTTTAATGGCATGCTTTACGGTAAATCGGATCAATGCTATGCGTCGTCTTCAGTACCAGCATCTCCAGTGTTCGATCCAACGGGATCCTCATGGGGGACCGCCCCGAATCCTCCTGGAGATCAAGTATAAATTTGCGAAGAAATACATGGGTGTGACGCAAGCGTATGTAGCTTCCTGCTTCTTTCCGCAGCTCTCCCCGTTAGAAATCCCTTTGTTGACTGGCCCATAAGTAACACCTTCCCCCTCCCCGAAGTCATTTATGATCCGTCGTTGATGCTGAGCCCTCATACGTTCCTTCTCGGAATTCTCTTTCATGATGATGCATTTCGAGTTCCGGGAATAAAGTCCATGGAGGACCTGCGACGCTTGTGGGTGGAGGATGGCCGCCAGCAGATGGAGGTCCCATTGAAACGGGACAAGGCTAAACATTATGTATTCTGCAAGGTCAAAAGCGTCCGCGGCAAGATTCAGATACATCGCGATCAGCCTATCTCCCAAAGTACCCTATCTCGACAGCTCAAGACCTTTGGGGAGATCGCCGGCTTTAAGTGGTCATTGTTCACGCATCGGTTCCGGTACGGTGGCGGCACCATTCTAAATGAAAGCGGTAAGTTATGGAATATGCCATCTTGTCCGTCCTTCCGTCCTGCATTACTGATTCAGAGCGGTTGGGACTGCTAGGTCTT